CCCATGCAGGCTGTGCGACCACGTGTCAAAGTAGGCATACCTACCTTCACGGGTTACCACAACTGCAAGAGCACCATTGAGTACCACGACAGGTTGCTTTACTGTCAGCAAGCAACGGGACTTTCTGGCGCCGAAGTTCTCGAACGAGTGGTCCTGGTGTCGCTCACGGAGCAAGCGGCCTGATGGTTCCGATTAATCGGACATCGCACCCGCTCGGTAAAAGAGTTCCGCGACAGCTTCTGCAGCGAATGCCTACCGGCTAATTATGAGTGGCAAGTTGGTGTTTTCGGAGAAAATCGGAGCTACGCACCCAGCATCCGGACGAGTCCTTGCTAGAGTCTTTACAGGCAATGAACGAACTGTATCGTCTCGCTAACCTTCACGCCACCAATGCGGAAAAAGTCGAGCGAGTTACGCGTCAAGCACACCCCACTTTTGCGGCACACTTCAGGGGATACAAGTTCGCAGACTTAGAAGAGCTCGCCACCGAGGATGGCCCCTTTGTTTCGAAATGCAAAGAAAGGGCTCATTCTCACAGCGTGCAGCGCAGTCAGTCGAAACTCGCTGTGCTTGGGAGGGCGGCGTAGTATCCTCTGAAGCGTTTAGAGCTAAAGCGTCAACATCGTTTGCTGATAAGCACGTACCACAGGGTTGGAAGCTGTCAGACCACGCTTTGGACCCCTGTGCTTATGCGCTTCGTACGGCTCATGCCGTCCCCATGCGTAACATTCGACGCCAGGAGTGCACAATCGACACAAGGCCTAACGAGTGGCGCAACCTGCAGCGATCGGGCCTCGTTCTTGGAGGTGACCTACAAATCTTGGCGGGGACTTACAATCGAGCCGGCGTGCTTTCTGCGATCCTTCCTATCGGTTCGGCGCGCCGGAGCACATCTCCCGCGAATGCGGCCCCACACTGTGTCAGCAGCAAACGCGCGGTTCGGGAAACGGACCGCGCCGCTGGTGATTGACATCAGACCCCGCGCGGTGATCAGTAATCCCACTGATGTGTTCAGATCACTTGCACCCTCAGTCTGTCCCGCAAGTATCAGAGGCTATGTATCAGAGGCTAATGGACTAATGGAAAAAGAAAAAGAAATCGCAGCATATCCACGTAGTCACGTAGTAAATGATGATGAGTGGGGCGAAACGTTCGTCAGCCGTCCGTGCTTCCTTCCGTCCGTCCACGCGGCCAGTTGTGCGTCTATCCAGTTTGTCCATCTATCCGTCCGTTCGTGCATCCATACGTCCATACGTTTGCATGTCCGTCTATCTGTTCGTCCGTCCCTGTGTCCATCTTGTGAACACTCCATGTACCGCCATCTTGCATCCCCTGGGGTACGTACCCGCTCTGCGCATTCATTCATCTGTCCCTCCGTCTGCTAGTCTGTCTGTTCGTCTGTCCCTGTGTCCGTCCGTGCCTCCACCTAGTGAACAGTCTATGTACCGCCATTTCCCATCTTGCATCCCAGTGGCTACGTACGACGACGACAGAGAATTGACAGACCCGTGCCTTAAGAAGCTTTGCCCCTAAAAGGAAGAAAGTGCATAACTGCTGCTTCTTAGCGTAAACACAAAACGATACACAGACCAAAGAAACACAAAGTTTACTTAGTTTCGGCCCCCACTACGGGAGCCACAATATAAAAATCATAAGAAAAGCACAGCAAGGTATGCTAAGTACGTGACGTAGCACCGATAGTACATCGTCGGAAGCGTTCCATCACTCATGTTCAGCATATGCGCAGTTGTCTGTATGTGCAAAAATTCTCAGTGCAGGCATGATGCAAGCTTCCTTTCTTCGGACACTATATGCGTGCTTGACCAGTAAATTTGGTGGCCTGTATATTCCTGTGTTCAGCAAGGGCATTCGAGGTCAGGCATCACTTTGTGACGTCATATTCGTGTTGTTTAACTCTTTTTCTTGAAATCACCTGTCTCACCAATGTACCGGTTGTCACAATCGTGGCAGCCTATGGCGTAAACAAGACCAGGAAAATTTTCTCTCGGCAACTTGTCCTTCACGTTGACTAAAGCATTCCAACATGCAGAATAGTGCATGTTGGTAATACATGCACTATTCTGATGTCTGTTGCTTCTACATATCACAGAGCATATCTCAGTTTGAAAGCACAATATTTATGCATATTTGTCTTGGCCACGATTTTGGCTCAGTTTGAAGGCCTTCTGATGATGATTGATATGTGAGGTTCGGCATCCCAAAACCACCATATTATTACGAGAAACGCTGCAGTGGTGGGCTCCGGAAATTTCACCATCTGGGGTTCTTTAACATGCACTCACATCTGAGTGCACGGGTCTACAGCATTTTCGCCTCCATCAAAAATGCAGCCGCCGCAGCTGTAATTTTCATCCCGCCACCTGCAGGTCAGCAGCCCAGTACCTTCAGCCACTCGACCACCACTAAGGGGCAATTATTACTATTATTGTTATTGGTGATGCAATCACAAACATCCTCAGCTATACACTTATCGCTGGTAACTTGCATTTCTAGGTTTGCATTGGGTAACTTCAGCTAAATTTCTCATTTTAGTTTTTATTGCGATAACAATTATATGGACACTCTCGGCTGGATTTTGCCGCCGAAGCCTCTTGTGACATTGGTGCGCGGGGGTGACCATGCCAACTTTTCATACGTCCCCATATTCTAGCCTCCCTACTCTCGCTGGGTGAGAGCGCAAGAATAACGAAACCAAGCTGTAGCCACTCAACAATAATAAAGCTAAGTCGTAGCCATGAGGAAATTATGAAACTGAAACTTCAAGAACTTCATTTTTTGAGCAAGTTCTTGTTCGAATTTGCAAAGAGTATGAGGCAAAAATTTTAAACACTAATGTTAGAGAGAGAGAAAAAGAAAGCTTCATTTAAAAAAAAACAGTCAATATTGTTGGACATTGCCCATCGCCCCTAGCCGTTGACCGGAATCTCTTGTGACACGGCAGCAGCAAGGGCTTGAATGATGCTGTCTTGTTGGACGTTGAGGTCTGGGCTGCATAGAAGGACCTCCTAGGATTCTATAGTGTGTGAACCATCATTCTGTCTTGAACATTTTCTCTCCATGTGGACCAAATTTGCCACCTCACCACAAATTTTGCACTGGGACTGGAAAATTTTTGAGTGCCGGTGAAGTATAATGTTTAAAGGAACCTCCGTCTGTAACTTTCATCACATAACCTCGTCTTTCTTACTGAGCAATCTCTCTATGCCCGGGTATACTTGCCAATTCAGCCTGTGGTGTGCTACAGTTTCATGATATATGCGCATATCCTGACTTCTTTACTTCTTTTTGTAAGTTGAAAATCAACTCGAGGAACTGATTGAAGCTGCTGTTACCGCAAAAGTATTAAAAGTTGGGCTAGTTGGTACGGCAGCATTTTTGGGTACAGTGCAAGATCGACAAAGACAGAATATGGAAGGGGCACTAGCATCAAGTACTGTTACAGCACAGCATCTAATGCTACTACAATCTAAAATTAGAAAAGCAATATCAAAGATCTTGGGCTATGAACCATGGCGTGAGCAAGTACACTCAAAAGACATACTGGTACAGATCAGGCACAAAATAAATGTACCTCTGCTACCTAAAAACATGAACGCTGCCTCTCACGAAGGTAGACGTAAAGCCAGGGCGGAGGCATTAAAAGCCAGCTACACCAGTCAACAGGACGTCATGTACACAGACACTGCGGAATATGAGACCAAAGTGAAACACAGTGGCAGTGGCAGTCAGGGAAGACGGCGCCCTGATTGTGTGCTGCACAGGCAGTAGTGTTGAGACTGTAGAGGCCGAGGAAGTGGTCATAGAATTGGCCATCAGCCAAAGGGGGGTCAGGGTGGTCTTCAGCAACTCCAAAAACGCTATAAGAAAGAATGAATCGGGAAGGGTTTGTGGTCTAGGAATTAGATCGCCACTCTCAGAACACACGGACACAGCAGACACAATCGGACCAAACAGAACAATACATTTATTGTACTGCTTTTTACTTGATGATATTGTCAGCCAAATGAAAATACATCACTATTAATAAACACGCTAAAACAACTCTACGCAATATTGCAATACACTCAATCAACATGACAACAAAGAAGGTAACGTGTAGGTGGCATCACCAACACTCGACTCATCATGAGGGCCCACTGCAGACAGCCCACGGTGCCGTCGCTACGGATCCACGTGGGAGACGACCGATCACGGCAGCCGCCCTGTGCCAAAGAGACTCGCCAATGTCCCAAGTTCCACCAGCCGGCATGGCCGCCATGCATCTCTGCTGGTGCTGCCATGCTAACTACTTTGATGATAAAAGTGATAAATGCTCGTGAGCACAATGCCACCTACCTAACTTCGGCCTATGCAAAAAACACGTATGCAAATGACCTTACAGGGGGTGTTAGCACCTTCACAAGGGTGACGGAGATTAGGTGTCCATAAATTGATAAGCACAGTAGAAGCACTCAAAGAAATGATTCTGCTTGTCTGGGTGCCAGCTCACAAGGGACTTGGAGAGAATGAGGAGGCTGATTCAGTACAAGTCTCCCTCGGAACCTCCCCAGCTATCAAACTAATGTTTGAAAAAAGGAAACCACATATTATATTCAGGTTTCCAAGGTAACTTGCGGTGAACTGTTCTCAGAAATAATCAAGAATGTCATGCTTCAGTAGTGCTGCAGTTGCAGATAACACAGCATACAAAGGATGACATCACTGCGTTCATTCTGCATCTCAAAAACATGTTGCAGCCTGGGGATAGCTACTGTCATATCGATAACAAAGAAAGATGGCTTACTTCAAGGGAAGTTTTATTGTTTCAGCAAAATTATATGCTATCTTTGCTAAATGCTGTGATTTCTTGAGAAGTTTGTACATTTTTTATCACATATGGGTGCTCCTATTTTTTATTCTACTAAACAAAGTGATGACCTCCTAATTGGTAGTCAACTTAACAAATCATGTCAGCTTGAAATGTATATTTGTGTGCTCAGGACGAGTGGCTGTGTTTGGTGTGGGGGAAGACCAAAAGGAGGGGGAGCCCCTATGGGTGTGGCAGGCCCACCAGGGTGCCATCATGGGCCTTGGCTGGACACCGCAGGGCCATATTTGTACAGCGGCCATTGACCATGCCACCAGGGTGTGGGACTTGCACAGGCCCGGTAAGTGTGCACCTTTTCATTGAGATGGTTATCAAACTACACTCTTTTTGATCTTGCATTTAAGGGTGTTGCAGGCTTTGTTCTTTTCAATCCATCTTGACAAGATGGTTCATTTAGGGATGATGGCCAGTAAACAGCCCCGAGGTTCGAAAACTGCTGTGAAGCGAAAGATGCGCTCATTTTCTATCAGAACAAGCTGCCACAAAATTTTGTTAATGCGTGCTGTAATGAAAAATTTATAGGCATTAAAACATCTGTTCAAGCGAGTTTCAAATTTTTGTGCGGCCTCGTCACCCTTCTCTACCATAGGGTGGGAAAAGTAATAGCCCATCATCGTAACCACATGCACTTTAGCAGTGTGATGCGAACCAGTGATACATCATCGGTGTGCCGCCAACGACCAAGCAGTGCATCCCCGACATGAACACAAGTCATAGCGGGGCAGGGAGAAAATGCAGTTCAAGGAGCACCTGTCCTTTAGCTGTAAATTAGCAAGATGCCGCTTTCTGGCTTTGATTCTGACAATACCACTTATTCCGGTAGTTTTGGGCTCTACAAAACGGCAGATGGCACCAAAGAAACATGAAAATATGGACTGCGTGGCCGAAACTACATCACTACAGGGCCAAGGTGCCATTTCGTAGGGCAAAGGACCAATTGACAATCTCAGTAGTTGTCCATAGGCAAGCTTTTGTCACGCGTACGAGGAGGATTGGTCAGGAAAAAAAAAAAGCTGGTGTGGGATTGTTTTTTGATATGGAAAGTCTGCGCGGCACTTAGCACTGTAATATTCGGAAAATGTGATCGCTGCGGTTTACTGTATGAGTAAGCGGGCTTGTTTGCAGGGTGTAAAAAAGAAAGTCTGAGCCTGTGTACTGGCCCTTTATTAGTAGCAAAAAAGTGTAAATTTAACCGCAGGATATTGGGTATAGCACTGCATACTATGGGGACCCCGCTATTCACAGTAGCGGACAATCACCGCAAGTTCACGCTTAGCGAGCCACGGCGCCGCTACTCCGTTTACTCGCGTGTAGCGCACCGCTCCGCGCGCGCTCAACTAATAAGGGGCTTAGTGCGGTGCGGCAAACAGACAGTGTTCTAATGCAAAATACACAACGCTTTATTGCCTCTGGCGGCACTTCGAACAACAATACAGCGTCCGCTCCCGGGACGCGGGTAGCAAAGGCACCCGCATGCTGACGTTCACAATAAGGGGAAAACCGTGAGCACGTCGCAGCTGGCAATGGCGAGCTTTGACACGCCGGTCGGAAAAAGGTCCCTCGTGGCTATGTTGCGCACTCTCACGATGGCCACTGGGCCTTGTCGCGAGTGTCAGGGCAAACCTCGTACACGTAGGCCTACAGCAAGTGTGGCTCGTTGTGGTACGACCTCTTCAAGCACTAGGCACCACTGTGGGCTTAGCGTATGCTACTGAAGCTAACACTCAAGTAAACACGCCTGCCGAGGTGCTCAAGGCCACCCCAGGCAGGCTGCAGTCCGGCGATTCCCTAAGGGGACGCGGACAAAAGAAAACACATGCTTACCCGGCGCTGACCAGGGAGGAAAGCCCGCTCCCTAGGCGCGCGCGTACCGCGTGCCGTGCCCGCACGTAGCGCCATCTATTGCCACGCGTTGCTATCAGAGCAGGAAAAGCAAAAGGGTGTGGCCGTGCGGCGGAATGCCCGCGAAATGGTCGCAGGCGCGCCTCAGATCCCCACATCGTCCTCTCCTTAATTCACCCTATATACCGGTCTGCAAAGGCAGCCGGTCGTCGCCCCTACATACAAAGGCGTCATGCAATGGGCAACAGCTAGCCTCAGCCTCGCTCGGCAACTGCTGCTGAAGAAAAAAAAATAAAACAACACAAGGATACACTTGAGAAATACAAAAAAACATATATCTGGCCTGCTGCAGCGTTCTTGGGGGGGGGAAGGCTCCGCGTGGCTTTACAGTTCTAAAAGACAGTCCACGTCCATTGTGGCGACACCGTCCATCGGTGGTCCATCGCTGGTTGCGGGCGGTGGCAGCCCTGACAGCAGTGCCGCGAAATGGGGGTCCTCCCCATTCGCTGTCAGCACAGGGCCGCCAGGTTCGTGTCCGAGCGCTGGCTTAGCGAGGCTGGATTTGAAGCTTTCCTCGTGGTGGCCATCCCCTCAGCGGCCGCCTTTGACCGTGCCATGTGCATGGCTCCCTTGTAGTGGCACTGAAAGTGCACGGTCACACGGCACGTGGCGCAGAACTCCACCGCAGCATCGGTAGGTAGTTGGGCGCCTCCAGCTGCCTTCTCGCTGTCCGCCAGTGTGCAGCCCCGGAATGGCCACGGGACATGGTCCAGGGGCAGGTCGCGCCAAACAGGCCGCTGCGTCTTCCACGGTGCGTCGCTCATAAAGTAGCGTGACACCTCCTGCCCCTTCTGCCGCGCCCACGTGGCCACGCTCCGCCTTGGCGTTTTGGGGACCAGTGGCGGTGCCGACGTTGTTGATCCCCGCCGCCGGGACGCCCGCCTGGTGGACTTGGGTGTTGCCGAGGTGGAAGGTTCTGGCCGCCGAGGCGCCCGCTGTGTGGACTTCTGGCTGGAGGGCATGTCGCTGAAGGGCATGTGACCACAACGACCGGCACCAGAACTAGAATGGCGCACCGCTGGCAGTCTCCGGCTTCCCCTCTCGCCTCATCGACAACCAGCGCCACCTATGTATACGTAGGGGTCGTTGACCTGGTTAACCAACACCACCTATGTTTACGTAGGGGTCGTTGACCCAGTTCTTCCCCTTTCCGCACCACACAGACACACACACCTGCACCACCATAGCGTCCTTGAATGTTCTCGCGAGTAACCGGTCGCTACCCCTCTGTAGGCCAAAAAAACGGGGAAAAAAGTCAAGAAAACATGAATGCTCAACAGACAATCAGCAGCAGTAACAGGGCGGAACCGACTTCTCTGCAAGCACTGGCTGTAAAGAAGTTAGCTAACTGAGACTAGACAGTAAAGAGGAGGGCCTTCGGTTGCGGAAATAAGCCCGCCGTCCAGCGAGAAATCACTAAGGTGACCGCTTCCTCAGATTATACCGGTGCGTGGTCCGAATGCGGTCCGCCGCACTGGGTGTGTGCCGTTGCTTGCGCGAAGAGCCACTGGGCACTGGCGCAGGCTCATCAGACCTTGACACAAAGGCTTTCAGGTCTGCGATGTGGGCACGGCTGAGTTGCCCCACGTTGGGCGCCAGTATGGTGACCCCGCTACTCACCGTAGCGGACAATCACCGCGGGTTCACGCTTAGCGAGCCACAGGGCCCCTACTCCGTTTACTCGCGCGTAGCGCACCGCTCCGCGGGCGCTCAACTAATAAGGCGTTTAGTGCGGCGCGGCAAACAGACAGTGTTCTAATGCAAAATACGCAACACTTTATTGCCTCTGGCGGCACCCTGAAGAACAGTACAACGTCCGCTCCCGGGACGCGGATAGCAAAGGCACCCACCCGCACGCTGACGTTCACAATAAGGGGAAAACCTTGAGCACGTCGCAGCTGGCAAAGGCGAGCTTTGACACGCCGGTCGGGAAAAGGTTCCTCGCAACTATGCTGCGCACTCTCACGATGGCCACTGGGCCTGGTCGCAAGTGTTAGGGCAAACCTCGTACGCATAGGCCTATGCAAGTGCGGCTCGTTGTGGTATGACCACTTCAAGCACTAGGCACTGCTATGGGCTTAGCGTACACTACCGAAGCTAGCACTCAAGTAAACATGCCTGCCGAGGTGCGCAAGGCCACCCCAGGCAGGCTACAGTCCGGCGATTCCCAAAGGGGACGCGAACGAAGGAAAACACGTGCTTACCCGGCGCCGACCACGGAAAAGAGACCGCTCCCTCGGCGCGCACGTACCGTGAGCCGTGTCCGCACGTGGCGCCATCTATCGCCACGCGTCGTTATCAGAGCAAGAAAAGCAAAAGGGTGTGGCCGTGCGGTGGAATGCCCGCGAAATGGTCGCAGGCGCGCCTCAGATCCCCACAATACAAATTGGTAAGAAGTAGTAGTTCACAGGAAAGAGGCGCTTTTGCAACTAAGCTTTATTTTGCCCTCACTGCACATATAAAGCTTAAAAACCACGTGTTATTGTTAATACTGCCACATTGTCAAACAAGATAAAACCAAATGAAACTGCCTACCATGCTAATTGTCGAAATAGTCTGCTTCACAAGAAAGCAGGTCAACAGATGGCTTACTAATCCGTCTGCTGCCCAACTTTTTAATGACCCATGCTCAAATAATTCCCACGCCTGTTTTCTTTTATACCCTTTCAGTACTCGCGTCTTCTCAAGCTCAGGTGCGCAGTGGCCTGATGCACACTGCTTCTTGCAATGAAGAGCCAGGTTGCTTTCTGTGTCACTCATTAATGTGCTCTTATATTTTTTGGACGTTCGTTGAGGCACTGCTCTGTTTGGCCAACGTACACCAGTCTGCACGGGATCACGTGCGCGACGTTCCTTCGACATCCGACGAAGGAGATGACGTGCTTATTGGTGCACTGGCGTCCTGTTGTGGGAGGCCGGGTCGATTAAGGACAAATCTCAACATAAATCGTAACGATCATTTATTAACGGGGTAGCAGCAGCCGGGCAAGCACGCCGATGCTGTGCTATAACGGTTAGAGAAACAATCAGGCAAGTGAGCCTGGCAGCTTGGGTCTTATAGCCACCTGTTGTGACGTCAGCCTTTGGTGAAACTACGGTGGCACTGTCCTTTATCGGACACGCGTTGCAGCATGTGGTCGAGTCATGCTAGCTGCTCTGGTTTGTGCGCAGTGTGTCGCCACACTGTTTTCACGAGAGTTCACTTCTTGGCAGCACAAGTCTCCGAGCTTGTTTGGGGCACTGAAGACAACACTAGCACATATATGCGTCCCGCATTCTTTTGATACGATGCGAGACGCCGTCAAGATAAGGGATGACCACAATTTTTGGCTGGACACCTGTCTTTCGTCTTTCTCTGCAGCTTCATAGGGTTTCTTG